ATTGGAGACCTCCGACTTTTGCTAATATATATTTTGTCCCTGGGGACTTGAAGGTGTGAATGTGATATCAATGAGTCCCGAAGTTCATTCTTGGCTGGCATGGAGTGACCGTCGTCTCGAAGGCATTGACCATGCATTGGAAAACGTCAAATGACCACACCCGGGGCCGCTGCATCAGAAGCAACAAGGTCACGGACGGCCAGTGGATGTGGACTCTTAAACTGCCCAACGTTCGCACTACACCCACAGCGAGTGTCAAGTACACCGCAGGAATCTCAGCAAATTTAACGTGTGAAGCATTATCTTACATCGAGATTTCCAAATATTGTTTCAATAATTTTTGAAGTCTTCTGCTAAATCCTTGAGCGCAAAATTTGATATTTATTCTTACATTTATTTTTTTATCGTTGATGCCGGATGAATTTTATATTTTTGTATTTAACTCATCCACTTTTTACTGCATTGGAAAGAATTTCAATTCTTTGCCTCGCACTTTGGTTCGGCCTCTTAATTACCGATTATGCCACGATTTTGACCGAATTTCAGCTATTAATTCCCCGCCCGGCTTCACTACTTTTTCAGGCGTATTTATTAACTTCATATTTAAATACATTTTAAATTTAACTAGACCCACCCATCTATAACACATCCTGCTCTCTCTCAGGTCTCGAAACTGCTGTTGAGAAATGGGGGTGCGGTGCTGTATAAATTCTATGGAAACAAGCGTCATTTCTCACAAAAAAAATTTAATGACTGAAATGGAATGCATTTTTGCAAGGTCGTGCCCTTTATCTAAGACGTTTCATCACATGGGTGGTACAATAAAACTGACTTGATATTAGGCATTATGATTCAAGTTTTTAGTTACCTCTAATGCAGAATGTTACAAGAATAGTGAATACCTTTAGAAATGTGAAAAAATTCTATTCTACGTGTCGTATATGAGACCAAATTGATGCTGAGGTTATATAATAACATTCCATTCATATTGCTGTGGCGTACCAAAAATTTGAAATTATGATTTTTAACAATAATTTTTTGTGAGAAAGATATTTAAATGTCACTGTTACAGTCAATGTACAAACAATTAGAACGTCAATATTAATTTTACAATTTTTTTAATTACAAGGACAAAATTAATAATTTTTACAAGGACGGTCAATGCTTATGATGATAATCTGTTGGAGCAAAATTTTCGTGGGCCCTGACAATTACAAGATTAGCCAACCTGGCATCTCGAGATTTGTACAGCCGGTGCAGTTTGCAGTTTCCTATTTTCACGTAGAAGGTTTTTAAGAATTTTCTCATATTATTGCAATCTCATCACGCTTTTACGGCTGTATTTTTTTCACATGTCACATAACCAACCAGCATTTTGCAGTTTCAGTGAATTTTTTAAAAGAAATCTATGTGGTTGATTTAAATCGATTTTTAGTTTCTATTTTATTTCAGTAATTTTAAACCTTTTGCTGTTCAATTTATTTTTCCAAGATTTTAATAATTTTTCGTAAATATTTCCAAAATTTTCGGGAACTTTATTACGTTAAACTATTGATCACACTTACGGTACGATATTATAGTCGAACTGCTTACCTACAGACTCCGCTGCATGACTGAAGGGCAATTTTCTGGGTCAGGAAAAGATTAGAAATTCTAGCCGGGGGCCCACAAATTTTTTCTGCATGTGTGGGCTCGCTTATGCTATGAGAGACGGCAGCGCTTTATTCACCTCTGATTAAAAAATTTCAGAAGTATATCGTTAGCTAATTCTTCCATCAGGCTCAACTGTATCTGTATATTCCTATGAAGAATGTGTCATTGCAATAGTTTGCCTGGCTTGCATATACACAGGCTATGTATGAGAGCTAAGCTAAACTAGTTAAACATTTAACTTACGTACGTTGCCTTCATCCAGTAAAGGAAAGATTATTGTTACGTTTTCAGTGAGCTTCTTTATCCCATATATATGTCGTACCGAAATCGCGGAATTGCCGATTTTATGGAATCGGCAGCCACTTTGCATAATCTGTGAAATCAGCATTTCATTGCTGGTTCAGAAAATCGGACATAAGAGTTAGATTTAATACAGAAATCGAAAGTTAGAGTTAGAAAAGGTTTGGTCAAGTTTGATCAAGTTCTTTTATATTTAAATATTAAAAAAACTTGGCTGACTGACCTAATCCCAGATTCCTTTAGTATAGAAATGCTGATTCTACAGATTCGGTGAACTGGCTGCCCAATCCATAGAATCGGCATTTCCGCAATTTTGGCACGACATAAACATTGCCTCACATGCACAAAATCAGTATTGGAGCCTTAATAACCTAATAAAAGAAAGCCTAATCTGATATTTTTATCAATAAAATCCAACAAGTCTACAATCACAAAAAGTTTAATATTATAACTCGAATTATAATATTGAATCTTGATAGTTTTCTGTCTGCACCAAAGCTTTTGCTGCGTCCTTGGCAAACTTCTGTTGGTTAGCGGCAATAAAGTTCCAGTTGTTTTTTCCGCTATGGCCTTGCGGTGTGCGTTTCATGGCAGTGAACCAAATGGTGTGCACCTCAAATTAGCCGCCAAACCATCGGATCATTTGCAGATTTTTGTGATTATCTGCACCAAAATGTTATCTCAGCTCACATACCGCTACTTTCTGTTCTTTACGCTATGTCATAACTCGGATTTTACTTCAATTAATGTCACGTCAAATTTGTTACCAGCGTGTGTCAGTTTTGGAATATTTGTTCATTACATTTTTCTTAACGCGCCGCAGCCCATTTCATCAATAGGTTATTGAGAAATTTCAACAACGTTTATGGGTATGATTTTGCCAATCTTAAAATTTTACTGCATCTCATTATAGAAGTGCTGCGTTGATATAAAAAAGTAATAATTAGAGAACATAATTTGTTATTCTAAGAACTAATTTTCTAACGACATGTTGGCCTTTCAATTCATCACGAAGTCTATATCTTGTTTCAACTGCCCAACTATTCGAAGTTAACGACGGAAAGTAATTTATGAAACAATCCTATGATATATTGCTAAGACTGTCACTCAGATTTTGTCGTTGATCTGTGGGCAGTTTCGAAATTAAAGTCAAGAGCCGAGTTTGATTTTATTGTTCAAATGACTGATATGCAACGCTCGTAAGGTCGATGTAAGACCCCGGCTATGTGGTATTGGCAGCCAGCTTGATGATATTTTCTCTTGTATTAAATCCATTGATTTAAAATGCATTGCTTGCGTTCTCTTCACATCAAATACTCGGTCAATTAACACAGCTGATGTATTTCCTAGCTTATTTTTGTTCCTATAATATTATAATTGAAACAACGGTTGCATTAGTCAAAGAGCTGAATGAATCATGAATAATATCGGAAGTGTATCTTTCATTGATTGCGTCACATAATTCTATTCAATTACTGCACATGAATCACTTAAATCGCAGGGAGAACAGTGACCCTGAGAAGCGCGCATGGAGAAAGTCTTCAAAAATAGGCATTTTTCATGCAGGATGCTGATGTCTCAACAAAAAAATATTGAACCAGAATTTCCGTGCAAGTTTGAAAATTAACGAGAAGTTTCCCATAATTTAAGAGTTAAATACTGATAAAAAGTGATTAATCCCAAGACAAAACTCGAAATCGGTCAAATATTTCTTCATTTCAATTCTCACTCGTACAAGCATCAAGGACCCATTAAAAGACAATACGCACAATATTTTTCTATAACATATTAATTTTTCACGATTTTTCAGTTTCAAGCTCTTTGAAGGCTGAGGAAATGCAAATCTTCCCCTTTTTACGGATGCAATGAAATTCGTTTCCTGCTATGACCCTAAAATATTTGTATCTGTTGCTGATAATCGTTTCTGAAATATGTCACTCACGGGTTGCAGTTGATTACGATGTCGTCACGTGGCTTATCGTGCTTATATATGTCGTCGCACGATTCTCACACGTCTTGTTTACTCCGTGATGCCGTCATGTGGCTTATCGTGCTTGTATATGTCGTCGCACGATTCTCACACGCCTTGTTTACTCCGTGATGCCGTCACGTGGCTTATCGTGCTTGTATATGTCGTCGCACGATTCTCACACGTCTTGTTTACTAAGTGATGCCGTCACGTGGCTTATCGTGCTTGGATCGTCGCAAGATTCTCGCAAAAGTGCTCCTAATTGTGGATTAATAAGCGATGAAATAAAATATCGCGTGTAGCGCATTACCTAATGCGTCATGCTTCAAATTTACTACACCAAAGTCATTAGCTATGAGTTGTAGGAAATTCTGACTCGTGTTTTGTTAGCTTTTTTCGTGGCAACCGAGTTCCCTATTACCAGCACCGGAAATTGAAAGTAAAATGTTGCATGAAAACGAACTAACTGCTATAAAACATTTATATTAATTATTGTCAACTTTTTCGACTTAGTATTATTTGTCGGATAAGGCACTGTTATGTTTCAAACTTTGTTGTCTATAGAGGCTGGCGATCCAATTGTTTAATTTGGCCAATGATTTAGAAAATTGTATCCGTCATAGGTCACGGCAAAATATCATTTGCGATGCAAAATATACAAATTTTGAGCATATATTCAACAGATGCCAAATCGAAGCACAAAATTTAGACCAATTGACCAAGCAACAATTATAAATGTTTGATCATTTTATTAAGTGATCTCATAGATCTTCCCTCCTAAGGAATATGAAACATGAATAAACGCACTGTTTTCTGTTTCATGCAATGAATAATTAGCCATTAATTCCATGGCAACATAAAATTATTGGTTTCATTATCACTGCATAAATTTATCCGTGAAAATATCCACAAGTTCTAAACTTGTTTTCACAACTGTAAACAGTAGCATTCATTAACTGATGGCATATGTTTTCCATTCATCAGCTGATCATGTTTCTGAAATATCTTCTAATTTTACCAACTCCACAGATTATGGAGCACGTGCAAGAAATATCTCCTAATTTTACCAACTCCACAGATTATGGAGCGCTGTGGCGCTAGTTCTGGTCTTGGGCGTGTGTGGACCGCTGGCCCTGGAGCTGGTGAGCCCAGCAGTGAGCCCTGAGCTGCAGCACACACAACTTTCGGACCCTCACGTCGTCAGCAAGAGGTCCGTCCAGCAGATCCCTCTGGGCACCGCAGGCTTTCCGCTGCCCGTCGACATCGACCCCATACCTTCCGGTGAGTGTTGGCTAAATTGCCTTGACAGAAACTGCAAGTTCATGCGTGGCCAGTCACGCATGACAACATTCGTGACTAGCCATAATGTAATTTATATTTTCCATAGCCGCAGTATTAGCAACAATTAATTGTTCGTTAGAATGTTGACACTTCATGACTCAAATAAAAAATCAGATGATATAAGTAATTATGTATGATTATAATATATTACACTTTTTATGGTTTAATTAATATGGATTTGAATGAGCTTGAATTCGGACATTAATTGTATTATAATTGAAATTGTAGGACGACTAATTAATCCGATGTACAAAACAATTTTTAAAAAATAATTTGGTGATTCTTCACTTTTTAATTTCGTTTCTTAAACTATTTTCATACATACAGATAAATTTGTAAATAAAAGTTAAGATTATTTTTTATCGATTCATATGAAAATATAAAATTCGTAACCGTATATAAATTTCAGGTCCACGAGTGACGATGCCGCATATTTCGTTTCGCGACATGGGCGTTCAAGTCGACGCGGCAACCGCCACCGTCAAAGAGCGCTTCGATACCATCGAACCTGCCATCTATAACAACGGCAAGTGATGTCCTAAATCATGCAATCGAAGGTTACTTATGTATTAGCAGTTATTAATTTTTACGCATGTAAGTTGGAATCTATTTAGTCGATAATTTTAGTGAACGAGTAAATTAAATTATGCAAAAACACTGTGGATTAGGTTTAAAACGATATATATGTTTTTATTCATTAACGATAACTTTAGTTTTGATTCCGCAGGCGTAAGGCAGATTCCAGGCACCCCAGCGTGGTACATGGCAGCGTCCCACAAGACAAAAGTCGTCGCCAAGAACATCTCGAGGATTGCGCTCATTGCTGAGGAGGCCACCAAATACATGGCTCAAGAGTGAGTACAGATTTACAACATTTGCTAAAAAATTATTATGATGGTAAATGATTCTGACTAAATACAAATTATTCAGTGAAAATAAATGAGTAATGTAATGGTATATTTGAAGTGGCGGAAAGTTTGTTTTTTATTCGGATCCCTGGAGGGGGTTTAAATTCATTAATTTTTCAAAAATAATGTTCACAATCACTACTCAGTTTCGAGTATCATCAATATAATAAACTCCTTCGATTCAATAAAGAGCGCGTTGAAGCAGCGAAAGACAGAAAAAATCTCATAGAATGCACGGCAGCAAAATTTGTACTATGACCTAAAATTCAAAATAAAATTTCATGTCCCAGCGGGAGAAAACTTATTAGGAAGTATTATTAAATTATGTTCATACACATAAAATAATCGTACAAATATCGTCATATGTACTCGAAATTTCTAATGATAGAACATGGAAAGGGATTTTCCTTCATGACATTTATTTCATTAATGTAATTCAGGAATGATACGACAAGGTCACAACGGGTCAAGAGAACTAGTTTTTTGAGAGGTCATGATCCGACTTGTGCGCTGTCACAAGCATTGCTGCATTCAGTTAGCCGTTATTTCAAACAAAAAGATTTAATTAATTTTAAATTGGAACCTTTAGCTGGAAATTTTAGCTAGAAAATTTAGCCTCATGATATACCTACGGAATTAAATGTTCCTCGTCATTTATATTGCCTGGTTTTTAAAACATGGGGCAAACTGGGTATTGTTTCAGTGTAGATTGTACCAGTTCACTAACTCGACATTTCGATTGCTTGAATTTAGTTCCTTAGTCTAAAACACCTTTATGAATGAATTAATAGGTTAATTCCGCTCAACGATAACGATGATTTGTGTCCGATGATGACGGTTCAGAATTGAAATTAGTAAAAATTTAAAAGTTTATTAGTTGTTTTAGTTGGAATGCAGAGGAGCAACGCCACAAGAATGTACAATGTACCTAGGAATTAAAAATGACACATCAAGCAATATAAAAACAATGCTGCTTGGGGCTAATGAGAACAACTTGCCTTGTATTGCATTAATAATTACACTAATTGATTCATCCCAGGGTAAGCTATTGTTCAGACAACTAAAAAGTTTTGCGAAAATTCAATGAATGATGCTTTTTGTATGAATTGAAAACTGTATCGATTCTATTTCCACTTTTTAAGCAAAATGTTTTTTATCGAATTCTTGTGATATTTCTGCTGCATTTTAACGTTTCAAAATTTTCACGTTACTTGCAGGTTCATATTTTTGGCGCACTTTTGCATTTCAAATTTATCACGTTACTTGCAGGTTCAAATTGGATAAGGATCAAATTTCCTACGGCCTTCCCACTGCTGACGTTCGAGGTACAATTCTAGGCGACCAATGCCCAGTCGAAGTCGACTTTCCGTGCCAGCCCCGCAAGTATCGCGCCTTCAACGGCTACTGCAACAATGTTCAGAACCCAAAGTGGGGTAACGCCAACACCAGGTACCTTCGCTTCCTGCCTGCTGATTACGGCGATGGTGTGTCTGTTCCGCGTCAGTCTGCGCAAGGAGAGTTCCTTCCATCGAGCAGGATTGTGAGTCTCACGGTCCACGGCGACCACAGCAACGCTCACAAGTACATGACAGCGCTCGCTGCTACGCTCGGGGAATTCGTGTTCCATGATTTATTCCACACGCCACAGATGGCTGGTAAGAAAACCTTCATAAATTTTTAATAATTTTTTTGAATTGCCTATGATTATTTTGAATTACCTGTAAAATAAAAATGAAGATCAACTTCATGTAGTTAATTTGTTGAAAATTATTCTCGTAGATTACTTTTTTAGCTAGCGCTCGAAAAATAATTTATCATTTTTACAGGTTATGTAGGACAAAGACTTCGCTGCTGCAACGTTCAATTTAACGACTTTCATCCTGAATGCTACCCCATTCGTCTGCCGGAAAACGACCCCGTATATTCGCGTGTGCAAGAAAAGTGCCAAGAATATGTGAGATCCGGAACGGCTCCTAGGACTGGCTGCACTCTCGGTGAGATTTGGCCGCAATTAAATTCTACACAGAAGCTTTCGCGCATAATATTTTTGATTAGACCAAAATTTCTGTTATCTCTTTCCCCGGGAATTTCTAATGAGAGTACAATCTAATGAAATTAATTTCCACTTTGTCACATCGTTAAAATACTTATTGTTGTAATTGGTATTATTGTTAGAACTTTATTACGAAAATTTCCTATATTGTAAAAATATCTATTCTGGTCAGGCCCTCGCGAACAAATAAATCAGGTCTCGGGCTTCTTGGACGGCTCCGTCATTTACGGCTCAAGTAAAGCAGAAAGCGACGAGCTCCGATCCTTCAAGCGCGGCCAGCTCGCCGTACAGCGCGGACCTCAGGGCACACAGCTCCTGCCAGCGGACGAAAACCAAGTCGACTGTCGATCTTCTTCCAAGAAACACAGGTATTCTGGAGGTCTTATTAACTCTCATTGACTGTTACTTAGAGGAGAGTTATAAACTCTCCTGTATTGTCTGTTACTTCTGTTTTCTTTTCTGTGTTGTTACTTATTGTCAGGGTATTGTCTGTTACTAAAAGCATGATGTGTGTTGCGCTAAAAAGCCTGACAGCTTATAGATAAATAAACTTGTTTTTCGTCAATCCAAAATCATATGTGAATTATTTGGCTAGTTTTATTGAGAGGAGGCCCATTATTTCAACTTAGCATGTGCAATGAAGAACTATTTGCCTGGATTATATCCATAATCTTGGGCAGGTGCTTCAAGTCTGGAGACGTTCGAGTAAACGAACACGTGGGACTGGCTGCAATGCATCAATTGTTTATGAGGGAACATAACCGAGTGGCAGATGCTCTCCATAAACTCAACACTCACTGGAATGATGAACAAATTTTCCAAGAGGCTCGCAGAATTGTCGGCGCCGAGCTGCAGCATGTCGTCTACACGGAATTCCTTCCTGCTATTTTAGGCCAGGTAGCAGCACGTTCAAATCAAAACAAGTGTTTGTGTGTGACGGCTATTTATTTATTTATGTATTTTAAATTGAATATCAAACCATTATAACCGTAGAAAATACATTCAAAAAACACGTCTATTATTCGAGACATTATTTCTTTTAATGAATTGTAATTTTTTACAGACTGTTGTCGAAAAGTACGGACTAAATCCGCAGTCGTCAGGATTCTTCACAGGTTACGACATCAACATCAACGCGGGCGTCGCAAACTCCGTCGGTTCCGCCGCACTTGCTTTTATCATGTCCATGATGCCCAACACCGTCGAATACTATTCTGGGGTATGGTTAAAATAGTTCAATAAACAAGATTCAAATTCATTTATATATTATATGATAAGATAATAAAGCCTATAATGTGCTATAATGAATTTTCAGATATAAACATAAAACTTTTAATTTACAGTCGTTCCTTACATTTTTGCACAATAGAAACAAATCATCTCTCAGGGATTCAAGTCTTAGACGTGTTTTCTAGACACTCGCCTGCGTCATCAGTGCAAAATCACATTTATTTTATTAAAAATCAAAATCGGGCTATCTTGCCACTTGATAACCTGAAGATATTAAACGGAATTATGTCCAAGCATGTAGAAATTTTGTTGATGACAATTACAATTTTTACTGGCCAATAATTGAGGCACACAGTTACCATATATTCGTTAATTGTTCCTTCAATTGTATATTTAGGACAAAATTAATCTTATATTACATCTTAATGACTCTACAGGGTCGCAAGGTAAGCGATAGGTCCATCACGGAAACATTCTACAGCCCCTTCGACCTGTACGAGCGAGGCAAGTTCGACGAGATTCTGGAAGGCTTGGTGCACTCACACGCCCAGAACGAAGACCCTGCCATCGCCGACGCCATTTCTAACAGACTCTTCATGGATGAGAATGGTTTGGGTTACTTATTTGTGTGCTATTAGTAAAGATTTACCATTGACATTTTGTCCTATTACAAGCTAATAATTATATTTCCATTATATGAAAATAATCTTTTATTTAATGGACAAGTTATGAAATTGCCTAATCTTGTTCCAGACCAAACCCATATGATTCTCAAATTCCCTCATTTCAGGTATATAGTTTTCAAGCAAAATAGCATCGATGACGATCTGAGCATGAACTATATGGTTGCATATAGTTCTTTTGTGATAAACCTGCCAAACAGGCTTTCATATTATTTTGGAGCATTGGGAACGCTGCATAGCTGAAAAATTGTCCTCTCGATAGCCTCTCTACATAAACCATCAGAGTGAAGACCATACGTTTTATTCGATTATCCAGCCTCGATTAAATACATTCTTGACCACATTTCTACAGAAGTAGATGCAATTTTTCAATAAGGCATTTCGACGTAAGTTCCTTTAGTATATACCTTCTTCCGGACTGTTTGCAGGCATCGGCATCGACCGCGTGGCGACCATAATCCAGCAGGGCCGGGACCACGGCATCGCCTCGTACAACGCGTGGCGCGGTTTCTGCGGCCTTAAAAAGGCCAAGGGCTTCGAGGATTTGGAAGACGTCATACCACCTGCGACTATCGATGCCCTTAAAAGGGTGTACCAGTAAGAATTCTCCTCACGTAAAAAATAATAAAGTATTTTTCGTGTAAAAAGGTAATCGCTCATGATTAAATTTGGGGAAGCTTAAAGCACGATAACTGGCCAGAATAATTATGCATACGCAATGATTCACCCTGTCAACTGTGTTAAACTGCTTCCTCTTTCTGCTTAATGTTCTAAAATACAAATGAGACTCATCCGTTCTCTAATTTTATTTTCACAAAAAAGAGAATTTCAAAAAACGTTCACGATGAATTATAGATATGGTCTTTACGCATCGAATGATATGTGTTTCGATGTTGTAGCTCTAAAACCCTAGGAGGAGTAGGATTTCTACGGTACCCCCTTTTTTGGTCGTTTTCTAAGAATTTCACGTTTTTTTTCATTTTTTTCGAAAAATTCACACGAACAAAAAAGTCTTAGATATCTGTTTTACATATGTATGTGTACCAAATTTCGAAGTGATCTGTCTATAAATAGCCGAAATAAATTTTAGGGAAGACGCTCCCCTAAACTGTATGATTAGATTTAAACTTGAATGAATGAATATGTTCAAACAAGAATTTTATTTTCGAGGGCGGCAAAAAAAAAAACAATGTAACATGTCTGTCAGATTCAGATGATTGTTTTTACATCAAATATTAATTTGTGACCAGGTCTGTAGAAGACATCGACCTGTTCACTGGAGGGTTGTCGGAGAAGCCCAACCGCGGAGCTGTGGTTGGTCCCACGTTCGGATGCCTGATCGGCAGGCAGTTCCACTACCTGAGACGAGGTGACCGCTACTGGTATGAAAACGACATCCCGCCATCTGCCATCACTAAAGGTTTGATCCATAAATACTTGTTTGCTACTGTATGGTAATATAACCTTCTTCTTATAGTCTACCTATAAATGGTTATATTACACCTTGTTTTTTTATAAATTCACTTAGGGAGATTATTCTGGCTCATTGAATATAAAAGACACATACATGAAGATCGCTCACATCAAAAATACAGATATTATTTGTGGCTTTACATTCTGAATGAAGATACCTCATGAGTTGATAAATTGTTTATTAGATAAAAATATTGTATGGAACAAGTGCTTTTGTTAATAATTTTTACCTTTAATTTTTACCTTTACCTTTACCTTTAAAAAATAATTTGGGAAACACTTTTTCCAGAACAACTTTACGAGGTCCGCAAAACGAGTCTGGCCAGAATTATTTGCGACAACAGCGACAACATTCAATACATTCAGCCGAAGGCTCTAATCCAGGCCGATCCTTTCCTGTGAGTGAATCTCCATTCAGTTCACTAATTAAAACAAAGTATTCCAAAATATTTTTGTACAACCCATCCTAATGAAGTAATCAGTAAGTACTTGCATCAACCCTATGTCGCTTGTTTGAGAAATATCGCGGAATTTAATCACTCAATTTTCCCGCTACCCGGTAAAATTTATTTAATACTGTACTTACTTTGAGCTACTGATTCAGATTAAGCCATCAAGGCGAATTTCGTCTCTTACCAATTCTGTATAATTGATGCTAAACATTTGATCGAATTTCAGTAACGCTGAGATGTCGTGTGCTGGCAAGAATATTCCATCGATCAACCTGCGTAAGTGGAAGACGGCTTCTCCGAACTTCGTCGTGCCCGACGAGATGTTGCAAGAGAGCATCGAGCGCGCCAAGAGAGATATCGGATCCATGAGAGACTCTGAGTGGAATCTTTGGGAGAACCGTGAGTCGTATTCTCAGGATTAAATTAAAATAGTTTATTTGGATAATTCTGTTCCACTAACATTGATGAAAATTTTCTGGATAGTCTATGGTCATTTTGGCATATATCAACTTTTCATGACTGCAAACTGAAGTCGACTGCTATTTTTAGAAAAATCGACTCACGGACGACTGTCAAAGTTAAATAGACGTATACGACGACAAGCGAAAGACGACTTTTTTCGACGACGGAAGTTTCAGGAACCTCTGGCCATGACTACAGAACACATGAGAGCACTGATTGACAGAAGTGACAATATGAACGTGAGCCCGCGTGTTATACGTGAGGCTGAATTCCTGCTTCTGGATTCTTTTGACGTTGGCGTCCAAGCCTGGGATTTCTTAAGGACTCATGAGAAAGAATTGTGGAATAGACGTAAGTACTTATAATAAAATGACAACATTACGAATGAAAATGACAACATTTTCGACCGAAATAAGACACAGACGCAGAAAATTCGAATTACTATTACTGCCGGTATATGTTATGTAATTATACACAATGATTCACAGTTAAACTTATGTTGATAGATATTAGTTAAGAAGTTTATTGTTGTCTACTGGATTTCCAAGAGTAATTGTCAATTGTCTCTCCAGCAAAAAGTTGTTGTCTAGTGGATTTCAAAGAGTAATTTTTGTTATAATTATTTTCTCGTAATATTGCAATGATTAAATAATAAACATTTTTAACTGACAAGCAGAGTACAGAATTGCTGGACCCCGGTTTTTGAAAAAATTATAAACTTTTTTTAAACCGTGAAAATTCCATCATCATTTTGGAGAAGATAACAAACTATTACTGGAAATAACTATACGAAAGGTAACTTCAATCCCTCTGTTAATTATTGCTTCTTTAGGAAAAAGTGCGGATCCCCAAGGAGCCAGCGGTTCAGCGTATGCCTTCAACAGACCCAAGAACCAGGCCATCAAGATCTCTAACACATCTTTCATTCTGCAATTTGCATCTGCAAGATTCGTGAATAATTTCATTCAAGGGTAATTACACCCTCCGAATTCATGCCAATTTGATTTCTTAGACTGTCTTGACTGACTTTTAAGTGTCACATGTAATGGATAGAATGATTTATACCACAACCCTCAGTAGTTATTACAGCTCCACAAATTATAAACTCATAAAGTGAGAATCGAATACTGTGTTGTCATCGTTCATTTCATGAGTAGCAATTAGATCCCGCGATGAATGTTTGAGCAAAATTATGATCAAGTGAACATAGAAAGGCAAGTTTGCAATTTAATTAGGTATTCCACTATATTCTGTTTTTTCTCATTAGATTTTGTGTTTTATTCAGGTCCTAATGCTTCTTTCAATTATTATTTTATTTGCATACTTTTTCGCCTCAAAGTTCAAATAAAATTTTTCCTTTACTTTCAGAAACGAAAGATTACGAACGACTCGAAACATCGACTCTCAGCTGAAAGATATTGAGTCTGGCTCAGTATCGCCGAACAGTATAAACGATCTCATGGATGTTCTACCAAACATTGACGTCAGCGATATAATGGAAATCCCGAACATTTTCGAATGCGACGATCAAACTCTTCCCTGCGATCACACGTCAAGGTTTAGGACGGCCACGGGCTGGTGTAACAACTTGAAAAATCCTGGTCTTGGAAAATCATTCCGTGCGCAAGCCAGGCTGCTAAGACCTTCTTACGAAGATGGTGAGGTTAAGAAGTTGGATTCCAGATAATTCGCCTATTTAGTTTAGATTCTTTATATCTGAAGCATATTCATCTTGCACGAATTGTATTTCTGCAATCATTTAAGGTCCGCACTTGATTCACCTCAATTACTTTAATACTGATGAGCATTGATTTGTCAAGTGTATTCATTCCACCAATTTCCTAAAAACATGGTCAACGCAAAGCCAAATCAAAATCTGAAACTCAAAGAAGTCAAAAAAAATTTAAATTCACTTTGATAATATTTATCACTTATTATTATTATCACGATTTAATCACTTTACCGCTGAGGATTGTAATTAGTTTATAATTGGATGAATTTTACAGGTCTCTCAACGCCAAGGGCGTTCTCCGTCACAAAGAAGCCCCTGCCCACGGCAAGACTCATCTCGACGAACATCCACAGCGACGTCTCCGCTCCTCACGTTCGCTACACGCTCATGATAATGCAGTGGGGACAGCTCATTGACCACGATCTCATATTTACGCCTGTTAACAAGGGTACGGAGTTTTGGGAACTTTAGTGGCTTCGAGATTGCATAACTTGCATAAGTCGAATGAGATACGAGGTATTTGGGTTTCTTTGTCATTTTAGCTTAATTTATATTATATAATGATATAATTCGCCTCATTTAACTTGCAGTTCAATGGGACGGTTGGACACTACTCTAAATCTGTGAAGTACATTTTTATCTATTATCGGAGCTAGATATGAGAAATTGAAAAAATCTCCATTTTAGAGACGGTAATAAGAACGGCATTTATTTTCAGGTTTCCAAGATTCAATCTTGGATTGCCGTCAGTGTGATTCTCCTCAAGTTACACATCCTGAATGTTTCCCAATACACGTTCCTCCCAACGATCCTTTCTTCCCACCGGTTAACATCAGCACAGGAAAGCCGTTCTGCCTGCCGCTTACACGCTCCATGCCCGGTCAACTAACACTTGGTACGTAGGACTTAATTATTAGTAGATTATTATAGAGAGCGCCTCAACTAATGAGCAATTGAGGTTAGTATGTAACCTGCCACACGCGAAAATGATCTACTTACTTTCAAAATGAAACAAGGGCAAGGGGGATGTTATGTGAGGATTTTTGTTCCCATGAATAACAATAATGAAATTTATAACCACTAAAATTTTTCTTTGAAAGACTAAAAATTATCATTTTCTAATTACAAAATAACCGTCCGGTTTTCTAAGAGGTAGAAATTTTTCCCATCACACGATATTCATTGTAAGATGCTGTGAACGATAAAGTACCCAATAACCCAATGAATGAGTCGTCTAGGGTTATTTTAACCGTAAATCATGCAGCCTGTAACGATATACACTTTTAGCAAAAACTATGTAGCGACGGCCCAATATTAAACGTGACATGGTAAACCAAGTTTTTGCCGAGATGCCTCATCAACAAATTATATGCATTTTACATTGAATCTTTACGGCTTCTTCAATATTTAACTACATATTGAAGGATTCAAAATATTTCCTTAAGAAGAATGTAATGTTTTGCATAGTTTTCAAGCCATTTTCACCTGTTTATTCCAGGCTACCGGGAACAGATAAATCAAGTGACCTCTTACCTCGACGCATCGCATACCTACGGGTCAGATAAATGCGAGCAACGCAAACTTCGAGTTTTTAAGGTAAAAATGATTTTACGAGGCCACTAATTTCTGTATTATTATTATGTTAAATGCATATTACGTTCATATACTTAAGGTAATCAATAATGCCCATGAAGGTGAATAAACCCTGGGGAATTTAAAAAAAAATATCGGGTGTGAATATGATGGAGTGAATATAGATACAGTATCTCGGATGAAAATATAATTGTAACAATTGGCTGCCCATGTGAATAGGATTAATTTTTTAGTTAGAAAAAAAAACGAAGATCTCGAAAAGAGATTGAAATTATCCAATTTGCTCCTATATACTTGCCTCCAGTCACAGAATAGTCAATAAATATTATTTGACAGAAAAAAAAGTATGGAAACTTTACTGTCTTGTCACTAGTGAAATTCGATAGTAGTAGTGCACTGACCTTGAACAATTGAAACATGCTTAAATTAATCGATAATTCATTAATAATCATTAACGAAAAAAAAATATTATTTTCTCATGATAGGATGGACATCTTGTTTGGACTGAAAATCCTATCCGTGGAAAGCCTTTCCTGCCGACGAACCCTGAAAACCACGAATGTAAAGCTGCCTCGCGCTTATGCTTCACCGGAGGTAATTTGTGTGTGCCTATGACCCGAGAAATACGACTGTAGCGATGCCGCACTCTTATGTTTTACGAGAGGTAAGTTGTGCACAATAAAGACATGAGAACTATGATTGTATAGTATATATTAAGTAAACCATGTATCCCTCACGGTTATTCTTTACTAGTGGTAACTTGTGCAGGCAAACTTAAGGTTCGTAGAGACAGCCGGGAGATCTCGGCAGGCTCGAGAGCTTCCTATGAGTTTCAATAAGTTCGTAACAACGTGTCATATGAGTTCATTCAATAAGTAGTTCTTTTTAATCGTTAATTAGATAACAACGTGAATTTTTACATTCCTATTCAGCTTTTTATTTGGACAGTATTAAGACATTGTATCTTTTTTATGAACAGTTATTATGAAGGAAAATTTTTAGAAACATTGCATATCAATTTTCAGGAATTGCGCGACTTGTGCACTCATTTTAGGATATCAATATCGGCTTCACCTTTCATTCTTCAGTGATCGGTGTGCCCGGCATTCTTTGATCAACGTTCTTGTTGTGAATATTTTTCACCAAAAACTATGTAAAAAAACGTACTCACATGCAGAGTGAAAATACCGAATACTAACAATTCTTATAGCGGCCCTCTTGAAGGAATGAAGGTTCACAGAAGTCATAAATTACTCAGCTGGCATTGTACAAGCTGCTATTGCGTTCACCTAGCTGACGAGGAGGAAATTTTGAGCGATATATAAAGAAGGAAAAAGAAGTTGCCAGCCGTCGACCGGCGCCAATTTGCTCCAGCCGAACGCTGGCTTTTCGAACTGAGGACTGAGCACCAATTTCAAATCATGTCCATCTGCGCACCGCTATTAGACTTCGCCGCTCTGTGACTACGAGCCTTGAGCCCTGGAGCCAAGTTTTCAAGGCTTTATCGCGCTTATGCTTCACCAGATTTAACGAAGCGTATACTGCAGTGACAAGAAAACATTAGTGTGGAATTGTTCGGCTCACGCCATGATGTCATTTCGTCCTTTGCAAAATCAGATGTCATTCAGCTAGTTAACGTTGTGCTCCTAGAACTTTTTCTGCCTCGTTTAACTTGAAACATAAATAGGTTCTTGCTCGTTTTCACCATCAACTTCAAAATTGCTTTTAATACTAAGTAAAAAAATTTTTAACCATTCCAACAATTTGATCCATATTTATTTTGTCTATATGAGCCGTTGATAAATCATTAGTGATCATTTTGTATTCAGGTGACACACGGGCTGCAGAACAACCAGCTCTAGCTGCCATCCATACTCTTTTCTTGCGAGAGCACAACCGAGTTGCCGATGAACTCAAAAAGCACAACAAACATTGGACAGACGAAGCTCTCTTCCAGCAAACTCGCCGCATAGTAACGGCCATCAACCAGCACATCACTTTCAATGAGTGGCTACCAAGAGTATTGGGATGGAACGCCATCAACTTGTACGAGTTGAATCTCTTGCCTGAGGGATATTACGAAGGTTTGTCAGTCAAAAGATTGTCATCAAAATCCATTGCCATTAAATGTTCTAAAACAATCTTTACGTGCAGCTTGCATACACATGCCATACTCATTATACTGGTGTGAAAATATTAATTGCCGAACCTATTATGATCGAATTTTTCAGGGTACGACTCCAAATGCGACGCAACGATTCTGAACGAAATTGGAATTGTTTTCCGTTTTGGCCACACTCTTCTTAAGCCTGCATTCGAAAGAATGGACGGCATATTCGCGAAGCGAGACCCGCCTGTGAAACTGAGTGACCACTTCTTCAACACCGATCTGCTCTTCGAACCTGGAATGCTAGACGAAATCATGCGAGGCTTGACGACTGTTCCGATTGAAACCTTCGACCAGTTTTTAACAGATGAAGTTACAAATCATTTATTCGAAGAGAAGGAGCATAAATTTTCCGGATTCGACCTCGCTTCTCTCAACATTCAAAGAGGACGTGACCATGGATTGCAGCCGTACAACGAATACCGCGTACTCTGCAATCTTACCCGAGCCCGAACCTTCGATGACCTCAGCAGGGAAGTTGCGAAACCCATCATTGAAAGGCTCAAGAGAATTTACGATCACGTTGACGATATCGATTTATTCACAGGAGGTCTTATCGAGACACCTCTTCACGGTGGTCTTATTGGCCCAACCTTCGGTTGTATTATGGGTATTCAGTTTAGAAATTTGAGAAAATGTGACCGATTTTGGTATGAAAACTCTGACCCGTTGGTCAGATTTACGGATTCTCAACTTACAGAGATTAGAAAAGTGACGCTATCACGTCTTCTTTGTGACAACTGCGAGACCGTGGATTCCGAGCAGCGGTCGGGATTCGATCTTCCTGACCCATTCTTGTGAGTCAATAATTTAGAAAGAAAAATATTTACTGATTGAAAATTTGCAACGAGAGAAAATTTGTAAGCTTATTCGGCACGTCATAATATTTTACATGCATGCTTGAAACAATATTCAATGTTAGGCATATAACAGTACCTAAGTCGTTCATATAGTGTGTTTGAATGCACATTATTATTCATTTTACTTTGTTTTCTTTTAACATGTTCTTCGCAGATCTGATTACTTTCTTAAATTAAAAATTTCAATACCAGCCATTTTGTTTTAGGAACCCAAGGGTATCCTGCCGAGATATGCCGGCCATGAACCTGGAGCTGTGGAAGGAGCGAGTTTCGTGCAGCGTTGGGACCACAAACATCGAAATTGGAGCCGCTGACAGAATATCGCCTTGCGTCATGTGTACTTGCACCAAAGAAGGGGTGAGGATGCGTATATTACTGTCTTCTACCTTTGACACGTAAGAATTCTATAAAATGTATTCCAATTTTAACACTTTCCCAATGCTATTCGGTTCTCTTTTCTCTCGCAGCCGATTTGTCAGAGCTTGAAGGTGGACAACTGCTTCCACCTTGCCAAATCATACAGCCCAGAAGCGATCCTCAATGACCACGTCTGTAAAGTGCAATGCACTTTCGCTTTCCGAGCATTCCCTGAAGTTGGAGCAAGAGACAACAACAAACTGGGATTTTTTAATAGATAGATAATTTTTCAAATGGCCTCAGTGCAGTTTCTACTGCTTACCGGAGAGAGATCGTTTTTTAAAAGTCCACTTTGTAGTTTTTGATTATAGTTGATTGTGTGAATCTGCTCTCTTTCTGGTTTGGTTTGATATTTTGGGGGTTAAACACATCAGATTTTGTAATTTTTATTTCTATTCAAATATGCATTTTAATATCACATATAATCTGGTGTTCATGTTCCAAAATATTCAGCATTATACTGAACTTTTTCTATTGAACAACCACTTACAGCATGAAACTGAAATTCGACTCAATTTTTACTTAAAAAATTAATTCATCGTTGGATAACGTTTAAAAAATCTTCTCTTGTCGTTATGAAGATCCAACCGCTTGCACGAAAGATCGATTTTCTTAATGTGAAATGAAAATGGTTAATCGCATTGATGGTTTGAGTCACAAACTTGGTTTTTCTTATCCATCGTCAATGAGAGCATCAATGATGCTACTACTTTTTCTTAATTTGCTTAAAAGGGAATTACAGATTGTCTGCAAATTAATGCTCCTTGTGAATCTTTTATGAAAACATATTTAAACCATTAATTTATTTTAAATCCTAAAAAATGCAAGTATTTTGGAATATTTCACCACCATAATTATGCTCGGTGTTATAAAGTTTCGCATTTTATCACTATTTAAATAACAACCTAACAAGAAGAGTTTTCATTGATTGATGTGGACTCGTATCCATTACACAAATTCTTCGACATGTGATAAACTAGTTAAAAGCACTTGAATCTCCATCGATAGTTAATTTTAAGGTATTTGAAATGTGAAATACGCTTATATAGGAGAATTAGTTACAGTTGAATTAACCCCAAATCACCATCTTATAGCTGTTATTAATGAAATTAGAAATCTGATTGTTAATGGAAGATTCTTCGATAAAATCTTTCGTGTCAGCGTAAGATGTTGCTCACGTCCGTTCAGAGCTTCAGCTGTGCAATTTTGTTACTACATGCAAATTAAGTACGATTTAAAGTTTTAGCTTTAAGCACTGCAAAGGGATAATGATGCGCTTTTTAGGTTATTCCACCCACACGGCAAAAAAGGTCAATGGTTAAAAATGTCTTTTTTCACATGTTATTCGCCATTCTTAGAATTTTTACTTAATAGGTAAATCTATAATATTGGCGCAAGAAAGGTCTAAACGATTAATTAGCTATTTAGGCTCAGACAAGTAGCATATTAACATGAGTACTCCCAATGTTATTGCTATTGTTTGTTTTGTCCAAGATGCAGAGCAGATGGTTGATAACTGTGAATTCAGTTTAATCATAGAGACTGCGACGCGTGCTGAGTAGTGATCTACAAAACCGTCACGAGTGACAGAATCCATGACAAATCAAAGATCCCCTCTTAAAATAAGTAAAATATTATTTGATTAGAAATTTCGAGGCAAATATAATGTCTGCCTAAAAATACTCAAGTTCCGCACATTTCACTGCAGAGAGGAAATGCTTCATCTTCCCTACATTCTTTCACCAATGTACTGAAATTAATAAAAACGTATAGAGTTTGCGATGCTATTATTCTCCTCCCAAGGTTTGAAATCAAATGTTGCTTACGTTCTCTTCGAAAATTTTCTATACTTAAAGCTTGAGGATAGAACAATTTATTGGGAAATTAAAAGGCTGTGTTGTTCTTATCGTATCTTAAGCGTTGCTGTAAAAATGGTCGACTTTCAGATTAAGTAATTCTCTGCTTATACAGGGTGTACCAGAATTAACAGACCCTTTTAATTTGTTAATAAATAAAAAACCAAGAACGTTTTGAAGTTGAAACTTGTTTTATTTAAAAGAAGAACATTTTTATGGTAATATTGTATCCTAGTTTTTAAATATAATATCTTTTAAATGCCCACCACAATTGTTTTGACAAAATAGGGCTCTTCTCTTCGTTGCTTTCATAACCTTCATTAG